ATGGGCAGGTAACCAAGGGATTTGGGTTAAAGGAGTTTCTGCAGTCCCCTTCAACGACTGTGCTATGCTGTGTACTTTCACCTGCAGTTCTAAACTCATTAGTAGTTGTTTTGAGTAGTGCCTTTCCTTGGTCAAGAAATATTTCTTAAAGGGCTCAAAACTGCCCACACGCTAAAATTCTAACTCAGTCTGGCCTTCAAAATTGCCAGCTCTTGGTCCTCAGGACATCTCCCCTGTGGTTTTCCTATGCAGCCTTCTCTGTGGACACTGTGGATGGATGACCTCTTCCCAATGTCCCCTCACACCCTGAAGGGCATTGCCAGACTTCCAGCCAGACTGCCTCACCCCTGCCTCATCTTACTCCAGCTCCTCTAACTGGCACTCGAGGCCAGGCTCACCAGCCCTAATCCACATCTATCTTGGCAACCCCATCTCTGTCCCCTCACTCTGATCTTTCTTTTTACGGTCAGGGTTTTTTTTCTACATTTTCCACTCATTTAAAAAAAAGTATTACTTACTCTCTACTTAATTGTTTAAGTTATAGGAAAACATTAAATAATAGTGCGGGTGGTTCTTCCAGAGTCACCTGGTAGGAGATGGGGAAATATCTCTAACCAACTTTCTGTATGGGTGTATTCGTGAGTGCTGGGAAGGGGGAACCAAACTCAAGGCTCCCACATGCTTTGCTTGTGTTCCAGTCCTTTAATAAGCCTTGTCCCCAGCCACATTTTGGTTTCCTATCTAAAATAACCTCCTTTCACGGTTCTTGGCTATCCCTCTCTGGGGATTGAAATACTGTCACTGTTGTTGGGTAGCTGAGCTGCTTTGTCCCCCATTGTCAGAAAGCCCCAGGAGTTGAGGGAGGCCCACCCCAGACTCCCTTAGCTATTACTTACATAAAACTGTGATAATCCAGCTCCTGGCCCTTTATTCTGACACCGCTGGGATCTCAAGTCTAACATATAACCTAGCTTGTGGCGAGCATTCAGGTAACACTGTTGAATGAACTAGATGTAGTCACACTTGTTGATCTTATGATTTCTGGAGTTTTAATCCTTCTTATGTTAGATAAAAAAAAATACTTATCCATGTTGTTGTTACATTCACTTGTGCTTCTTCTTTTTCTTTGGTTTTGGTCCACATATCCTGGTGTTAAGGCTGTTGCTCCCAGAAATGATCAGGGAATCATGCAGAGCTGATGACTGAACCTGGGTCTCCCACGTGCAAAGTATGTACACCAGCCCTTTAGTTCTCTCTCCTGGTCGCTGGCTTATGTCTTTGTTGTTATTGTTTACTATCTGGTTCATCTTAAATGTTTTAAGAATTGAGGACTAAAGCAAACGTGTTTTCTCCTTGGTTCTAATCAGTTGTCCCAATAGTATTTCCTGAATTTTTCCTCTGGAAACCAAAATGTTGTTACCTAAGACTCACTGGATGATGAACTATGCATGTTAGTGGCAGTTATAATTATTAGCCAGCATGGGAAAATGCTCATTTTAGTCATTTTGACCTTTTTTTTACTGGTTTTGGCATATCGAATACACAACGGATAGCTTGCCAGGCTCTGCCGTGCAGGCGGAATACTCTCGGTAGCTTGCCAGGCTTTCGGAGAGGGATAGAGGCTTTTGGGGCGACCTCTAATCGCCCTCGTAGGTGTTACCATATTTGAACCCTATCAAATATGGTACGGCAATTCCGGAAGATGGGTATTTAATTTCTTATGATGTGTTGCACGGGTCAGGAAAGCGTCCTGGAGTGTGGCAGTGTTCAAGATCATGAATGATCGGTTTGAGGCTCTTCATGTTCCTAGAGCGAAGATGCCATTGGGCTACACTAGCACGTGACAGGGACAAATGGAGACGTTACTGGCGCCCGCTCGAGCAAATTGACGATTAACGGGAAGTCAAGTGATTAAGTGACCTTTTTTTTAATAGATGAAAATTATCAATATACAAGGATACAACATACAACAAAAAAAGGATGGAAATAAGTGGAGACAAATGAATTGATTTAAGGAGGGTACTTGGTTTGGGTGAATTTTTCTTTGATTTTTTGTTTTAGTATCTATGACATGAATAATATATTGAAACTTTAAATAAGCAGACTGTGGAGAGGAAGAGGACTGTGTCTGAAACATAGGCTTAGGTGATGGAGTTAGATAGCTTAAGGGGCTGAGCACCTAGGAGAGGCCCCAGTTCCAAGTCTAGCATCACCAAGCGACCCTGAGCACAGAGACAGGAGTACCCCAGAGCACTGCTGGGGCTATCCCCAAAACAAAAAGACTTAAGGAAGGGTTTTTTTTTCAGGGATGGTGGTATTGGAGAAGATGGTCTTAGAAGCTGAGGACAGTGGGTAATACAGCTGAGAGAAAATGAGCACTGGGGTGAGGTGGGGATGGTGCTGGGGTGTAATTATTACAGGCAACGGAAGAAAACTTTTACATGGAATTTGCTTCCTTTAGCCCTGTACGCCTGTGCTCTGAACTCCGTATCAGCCTTAGCCAAAATACACCCAGGCCCCAGGTACATGCTGATTGAGTTCAAATGCCTGGCTTAGCTTCATCAAGCAGCAGCAGGGATGCTGGGCACACAGAGCTGTAGGAGGACCATCTCGTCCCACACAGTCATGTCTAGAGCCCTGACTCCTCAGAATCCTGTCTCTTACAACTGAACTCAGAAAACATTTGGATTTGCCAGTCTCATAATAAACCTAAAGATTAGACATAGGAACGAGGGAGTCCTCGGTGACATCCGGATCTCAACTGTTCCATGTTGAGGAGGGTTAGGCAGGGGAAGCTCTGGAGTCTCGGGCCACTTACCCTACCCTGAGGCTTCTTCCCCCTTCTTCAGTCCTCCCCCAATCCCCACCCCCCATCTCCGCGCAATTATCCCAGCAACATCACTGGGGTCCCTAAGACTCCCTTTGAAGGGCAGCTCCCCAAACCTGGGTGAACACGCCTCAAAGTAACCCACACCGGACCCACCTCTCTGACAGAGCAGCGCCAGGGTGATACGTGAGATCCTGGACTTGATTTTGGGGACTGAACACCCACAGCCTAACAAGAGCTTTGTTGTTGTTTCTGGGCCACATTTGACTGTGCTCAGGTACTACTCTTGGCTCTGTGCTCAGGGGATCCCGGCTGGCGATGTTCTGCATGTCCCCGATAAATGGGGAACAAACCGGGTGCGAGCCAAGCGCCCTACCTGCTGTCCTAGCTCTGGGCTCCCCTGACAAGGACTTTTTAAATAGAATTTTAGTCACCTAAGAACCACGCTCTAGAGCTGCTTCCCTACAATGCTTCCAAGCCGTCTTGGTTACAGGCGCCCCTTCCTGGCGGTGTCTCCCAAGGAAACGCCTCACTGGGTCCCCTTCAGCACAGGGAGACCCGCCGATAAAGTTCTTGGCGGCGAGCGTTTCCGAAATCGTCCGTGAAAACTTCGGCGAGGTCGGACGAGTTCCCCCTACCGGAACGCGAGCCTGGTTGTTCCAGAGTCAAACTCCCGGGACGGAGAAGCGTGAGGACGACCCCACGCACCGCGCCTCCGGGGAGCCACGACGCTCCCACCAGTCCGAAGTGCGCGCGCAGCCGGCGGCCGGCGGCCGGCGGCCGGCGGCAGGCAGGGAGCGACACCGCGCGCTCTGAGCGCCCGCTCGGCCCCGCCCACCTGCGTCACGCCACGCGGGCCCGCCCCAACCCACCTGATTGGTGAAGAGCGCGCGCGAGCGGCCCCGCCCCGCCCCTGCCCTCCTAGCCCCGCCCCCTGGTTTACGGTTGGCCGCGGTGGCCTCCGCGTTGGATCCCGGGGCCTCGGGAGCGGAAGGGCCCCCCGGTCCCCAGAGAGCGAGGGGGCGCTTTTCCGTTAGCTACGCGTTCTCGCCGACACCGCCGGCTCTCCAGAGGCACAGTCGCCGGGGCTCGATACAGTCCTGCGTCCCCTCCTCTCCTCAGTCTTCGACGCCCCCTGGCTGCAGGCTACCCGGAAATGCCCATTGTTCTGGCCCTTCACGTGCCAGGACGTTGGTCCTCGAGGACCCGCCGCCCGTTTGCGGACTCGCTCGGGCCAAAGCCGAGGCGGGCTCGGCCGGCATCTCGCGCCTGCTGCCCCGAGCACCGAGCCTCGCTCCTCCCCGGGCCACTCCAAGTGCCCCCCACCCCGGGCCACCTCGCTGCCGTCGGGAGCCACACCTTAGGGACCGCCACCTCCGCACCTGCAGTTCTCCGCACCCACGTCCCCGACTGCTCGGCTCCACGCCCCTCGCCCAGCACCCCTCACCCCGTCCAAGACGCCCTCCAGGTCTCTGGGCCCCGTCCCACACGTGGGTCCACACTCCTGCCTCCTCGCCCCTGCAAGTCCCTTCTCGGCCGGGCGACCGGCCCGCGCCGCCCCCGCACGCCCCGGGGGGCGTCTCCTCGGCCACGCCGAGCGCCCACCCGGCTCACCTGAGCCGGGCCCCCCACCCGCCCCGACCCCGACCCCGGCCAGGGCGTGCACGCCCCCTCCCGCCCCGCGCCCGGAGCCTCGGTCGCCCCCGCGCCCGCTCCTGCCGGGGCTGGCAGGGGCCTGCGCCGGCGGCGGCGGCGGAGGCCGGTCCCCGGGCCGGGACACACCCACCCGCCCGCCCTCCCTCCGTCGCTGCCTGGCTCCCTCCCTGCTTCCCTCCCTCTCTCCCGCCCTCCCGCCCTCGCTTCGCGCTCGCTCCTTCCCCCTCGCCCGCTCCCGCTTCCCGCGGCGCCCGGCCTCGCGCTCCGCCTCCCCGTGCGCGGCTCTCCCGGGCGCGGCTCCGGGGTTCATGGTGACGAGGCGGCGGCCGCTCCAGCCCAGCAGCGGCGGCGGCGGCGAGAGCTGGGGCGCGGGCCCGGGCCGCCTCTCCCCGAGCGCGGGGCCGGGCGGCGGGCGCGCCCAGGCGGCGGCGGCGGCGGCGGCGGCGAGCGCCCCCCACGGCCCGCGGCCCCGCGCGCCCCCCGCGCCGCGCCCCCGCGCGCCTGGCTGGCGGGGGGCCGGGCCGGCGGGCGGCCGCCGCGCCGCGCACCCATGGACGGCCCGGCCATCATCACCCAGGTGACCAACCCCAAGGAGGACGAGGGCCGGGCGCCCGGCGCCGGCGAGAAAGGTGAGGAGGGGGGCGCGGGCGCCTCCCGCTCCGCCCGAGTTGGCTGCCCCGCGCGCGCTCGGGCCGGGCGGGGGGCCGGGGGCGCGGGCTCCGGAGGGTGCGTGGGTGCGGGGGTGCGCCCGCGGAGCCGGAGCGAGCGTGGTGCGTGCGGCGGCGGCGGCGGAGCGCGGGCGCGGGTGCCTCTCGGCCCGGGCGGGCTCGCGGGGGCGGTGCGGCGGGGGGCTGGGGAGTGGCTGGTGGGTCCCAGCTGAGTCTGGCGGGCTGGGAGTTTGTTGCGCTCGCGCCGCCAGAGAAGTTGGGAAGTGCGTGCCCCGGGCCGAGGGGGCGTGAGTGTGAATGTGCGTGCTCGCGTGCGTGTGCAACACGCCAGGTGAGCCGCGGTCAGGGCGGGCGTGCGCCTAACGGAGGGCATGTGGGGCGTGTTCCCGAGCCGCGGCGATTGGGTGTGCGCCCGATGGAGAGGGTGTGCGGCGTGCCTGCCCCCCGCGGAGAGGCTCGTGTGCGGGTTCCCGACCGTGTGCGCACAGTTGCACCCAGCTGGCCGCCTGACCGCGGGGGGCTCCTGGTCAGCTGGAGAGAGCCTGTGAGCGTGCGCCCGGGTGCACCAGACTTGAGACCGTGAGCCTGGCTGCTTTTAGTTGACAGTGCAATGCGGAGAGCAGTCAGGAAAGTGCTAGTACTTTCCCTTCCTGGCTCTTGGCTTTTTCAGTGAAGTCCTTCCACTCGGAACACCTGCAGATCTTTTAAGGTCCAGCCCGAGTGGGCACCCAGGGAGCCCCTTACCAGGTGTACATCTTTCCTGGTTTCCTGGGAGCTGGCCAAGGGCTGCAGAGGCTGGCCTGACTTCCCCACCTCTAATTTATTTGGGGGGTGGGGAGGCACATCCTGCAATGCTCAGGGTTTACTCCTGGCTCTGCACTCAGAAATCACTCCTGGCAGTGCTTGAGGATCCATATGGGATGCTTAGGATCGAATCCAGGTAGACTGAATGCAAGCAAGTTCTCTACCCCCTTTACTGTTTTTCCCGTGTCCCCCACCCCATTTCCCCACATCCTGACCCGCTGCAGCTTTCTGTTCCCATCTGGTTTTTTTTCCCATTGGAGGCATGTCCCTCTGAGGCTTAGGAGCCCCCCCCCCCCTCCTCAAGTGCCCTGCTTACTACTGCGCCTCACTGTTGAGTCTGTTTAAAAGGACCATGGAAAGTGGCTTGTTTTATTCTGGCCCCTCATCCTGACCTTCCTTTCATGTGGCCCTCACATTCCAGGACTGAGATCAGGAGCAGTCCACCCAGTCCACCAGGGCCGTCTCCAGACATAGCCAAGTCGCAGGCCACTGTGGAAAAGCATCAGATTTCTTCCCACATGTTTTCACCTTGGCTGTGCCAGTGGGGTGATGGTGGCCAGCTAGGCTGAGGAAGTGGGCTGGGATGGAAGGCACATGCTAGTGCCTCTCCTCAGGTGGGAGACCCTGGGCAGGCCCAGGAGGGAGAATGCAAGAAACCCCCGAGGGGGCCTTTGAGGAGATGACACCCGTTTGAGCTCCTGGAGACAATAAACACTGTCTGTGGACTCATTTTCTTTGAGGTAAAATTAGAATTCAAACTCCCAGGTATATTTCTCAGCGGCTTAAAAATCAAGCTAGAAAATTCTGCTAGGGTGATGGATTCTCTAGGTGAATCTGCATGGTGCCTGGCCCAGGTCTTCTTGCCTTCCAAGCTCTTGGTTCCTGGGACTGTGGGTCTGCAGGCTCTGGGCTGGGCCTTGTACCGCAGGGAACGGTGAGTAGGAGGCTCTGCTCAGGGCCTCCAGCACATGCACTGAGCATTTCTCCCATGCTGGGCTACAGAGAGCAAAGGCCAAGGCACCTGGGAAGGGGGGCAGGAGGGAGGAGAGGTAGTTTTTGTAAGGCTTCACCCTGCTGTTGCCCATCTGAGTCCCACAGTAGGTGCCCAGGCAATGCTCCCCTCTCCCTGCCAATTTCACCAAAAGACAAACCCTGTACAAATACTCAAGGGCAGTGCTTGTTCTAGTCAACTTGTTTACATTACTTCCACGACAATCTTTTATTATCTTTAACAGCTTATTTTGTTTGTTTTCTAGTGTTAGATTGGCTGGTTTTTAACTGACTAGGGGAATTACTCACCTGCTGCTCTAGGGCGAGGTGGCTAGCAAGTAACTCTTTCTTTCTGAAGCCTTAAAATCTGATGCCCTTTGGTTTTTCACTTTAAAACATGGAGATAATTTGGGCTACCTCCTGTGTGGCAACCTCTGGGCAGAGCCAACTTTTTTGGAATTGCTTCTTCATATTCTGAGCCACAAAACAGGTTCAGCAGTATTTCTCGCTTAAGTGTGTTGATGTCTTTAGATAGGCACAATGCATTTTACATAGTTTTAGTTTCAGAGAAACCTGTTGTCGTTTTGTTTCTAAATATCAAGTGCTCTGGCATGTTCTGTGTTTTGTAGTAGGAAAAGGGATGGTTTTGAAATGGTCTTTTCCTTCTGTATTTTCTGAAATAGAAACTTTAGTTTCTGGGCGGAGGGATAGTACAGTGAGTAGGGTGGTTCTCGTGCATGTAGCCAACCAAGTTCAATCCCCAACATCTCCATATGGTTCCCCAAGCCCCACTAGGCGTGATCCCTGAGTGCAGAGTAAGCCCCGAGAATAGCCAGGTGTGGCCCAAAGCCCCTCTCCTTACCCCTCCCCCCCAAAAAAGAAAAGAAGATAGAAAAAAAACTTGGTTTTGGTCTTAGTTGATTAAAATATATAATAAAATAGTTAAGTCTTCTGGCTGGTTCACCAGCACGCCCCCACTCCATAAGTCTTTCTTTAAGTAGAGATTTTCAAAATAAGCATGTATTGTGCTGTTTTATATGCTTTGTATCCTTTCTGGACACATTGCCACATAGTCATGCCCATCCGGATGACTGTCACTATCAGCCTGGCCAACAAATGGCATATTTCTTCCAGTTGTGTTAGATTGGTAAAAACTGAGAAATAAATTTGCACGAGTTTTAACTCAGCCAACTATCTGGAAATTACTTTTATAAAACAATAAGGAAAAGTCAAACAGAAAATAAGAAAAGAAGGTAAGAGCTATAAACAAAGTCATCTCGGAATTAAATCCAAGTGGTCAATAAATGTCTGAAACAAAACGACCTCAATTGAAACACTTTTCGCGTGTCATCTTGTTAAACATCTAAATGACTCACAATATTCAGGTTGAAGTTATTCAGAATTAAAGTTTAGAGAAATGGATAGATACTCATAGGCTTATATGAAAGAATGAAGTGAATCCACACAGCTTCCTATGGAGTAATTTATTTCTGATTTGATTAGGACACAGTTGGCTGCAAGTAACAGAAAAACAAGCTATACTGTGGCTTAGGCCAGTAGGACTGTATCCTTCCCTCAGAACAGTCTGGAGGTCGACTGCTGTTGGCTTTGGTTCAGCATCTCATTGATAACAGTATTGACATCACTGAGATTCTCCCAGCAATTCATGGCTGCCATCCCTCCACACACTACAGCCACCGCCAGGGCAGTAAAAAAGGACAGTGTAAGTCATGTCAGTCCCTTTTGCCTAGAAAGCAGCACATTTCCTCAAGACTGCCCGGCAACTTTTGCTAATTTCCAGTTGGCCAGAGCTGGATAACATGGCCACCCCTCGCTGTAGTGAAGCAAGTTTTCAGCCTCAATTGGAAGCAAGAGCAGGGAGGGTGACTAGAAAGGGTGCTGATTCAGTCCTCCCTGTTGCCTTGCCTTCAAAGACCCAGTTCTACTGCTGGGTTCCTACCCTAGAGAAATATTTTCATTTGGGCTCAGGGAAACATGTCTATGGGTTTTTGCTGATGGCTGAGTTGCTTATGGTAGAAATAGGCACTGTCATAAATGTCAGCAGACAAATATAATATGGTATTCCAGTAATACTACAAAATACTGCAAGGCAGTTAGTTGAAAAACCTAAGTTCAGTTAGATCTAAACATACTAATGGCTAATTTCCAAGACATTTTAAAAGGGTAAAAAGGAATTCAAACCATGGCATGAACAGAAAGATCATATCTTACTGTAAAAAAAATTTCACAAGGCCAGAGAAATAGCTCAAAGGGTTGAGTTCATGCTTTGCATGCTAGAGCACCAGATCCAACCCCTGACACCACTGACCATGCCAGCAGCAAGCCAGGAGCAACCCCTAAGCACTTTTGGATGTGGCCTCCCCAAAACAGCAAAAAATTCAAAACACAGGAAAACTGTGCTTGTATCTAGAAATATATTTATATATTTATTCATATAAATATATAAACATGTATATAAAATAATCTGGAAGGAAGTACTTCAAATTGATAGCAGTGATTATCTCTGGAAGAAACATCAATGGGAAGTGAGGGGACTTTGTCTTTTTGTTTAAATATTAATGAAAATGTACTTACATTTTAGCAGTGAATTTTTTCAGTTAAAAAAGAACAACATTTCAAAGCTGTTTGGAGGTAAATAAATTTAAAAATAATCAAGCAAATTAAAATCCTCAACATGCAATAAAAGGTAAAGGTAAAGGCCCTCCCGTTGTTCGTCGATTTTGCTCGAGCGGGCCCAGTAACGTCTCCATTGGAGATTTTGTTGTTACTGTGTTTGGCATATCGAATACATCACGGGTGGCTTGCCAGGCTCTGCCGTGTGGGCGAGATACTCTCGGTAGCTTGCCGGGCTCTCCGAGAGGGGCGGAGGAATCGAACTCGGGTCGGCCATGTTGGCTGCGTGCAAGGCAAATGCCCTACCGCTGTGCTATCGCTCCAGCCCAATAACAGCAAAATATTTCAACTGTAGCTAAACAGTTAATTCTTTTGTAAATTAATATATATCCTTTGATGAGATTTCTTCAGGCGAGTTTGTTTTGGCAGATGCTTTGGCCCAGGATGGTAGGTATGTTTTCCTCAAATGTTTGCAACACTTAAGCTGACCCCAGAAACCTTTAACCTTTGGGCTGCTAACAGAATTATCGCTG